TCCCTACTGCCTGACGAGCAGACTTCCAGGGAACCCATCGACCCCCTGTTTCTGCGCTTTCGCACCTGAAGCTTCGGCGGTCTTTCACCTTGCCTTCATGCAGTTCTTCCTTTTAGGCATTGGTAATAATCCTGGTTTATGGTGAATGGATATAAAGGTAATTGGCTTTATATTGATTGACGGAGAAGCTTGTGGGATTTAATTTTACTGTAGTACTGTTACTTGTTTCGTCAATTAGTTCCCGTTCATCTACACCATGTCGCGCGATGTTTGTACATACTTTTCTTTTGTCTTTGAAGGTAGTGTAGGCGTGCGATAAGCGCTGTACTTCTATGCAATATATAAAATATCTATATATCTTCTGTATGTACGCTGTCTATTTCTTTACAAACAATACTATATCTTACTCACAAGGAGACCATCACGCTGACACTCCTCTGCTTCCACTAACATTCGTCTAGATGAGAGTCCCTCGGGCCTTACTAAAGACCCATTCGCCAGCTTCTACCACCACACTCCGTACCCTACGGAACCCTCGATACCTGCCCCCTTGAGAGGCAGTTAGAATCCTCAATAGAAAATCTGTTACCATTTATTATATGGTAGTGTACATGTATAAACTAATCGAATGATACCAAATTTCCACAGGTACCAGTGGAATACTACCATGATAAATTTAAAATCTATTATGAAATTTTAAATGCATTGAAGTTTAACATTTATGTTACATATGTTCCTAGTATTATCAAATCCTGTATGCATAGTTTACTGTAAACGTTGCTAATTTAAATAAGAAAAAAATCTCACGTATACTAATATACAGAGCCACATATTAAATAAGTTTATATTTTGCCGCTGTCTGTTCAGTTTATCTTAAACTCCCACTGTACTCTCAAAGTGTTGAATTGGTAGTAATGTTCCATTCGGTACAGACTGCGAGAGCAGAGGGTGTAGTGTAGGTAATAAGTAGGCCACTTATATCGCAGGATAGGGATGGACCAAGTCGGCGTTGGTAAAGTATTTAGGCAGTAACAGGCCCAAGTAATTCGGTGGTCACTTATCGAGAAGAAAACAATAATATTGTCGAGCAAAGACACAATAACTATCAGAGACATTTTGTTTAGAAGAAAGAAAGGAAAAGTACATGAAGTGAGGGCGAAGCCTCCTAATAGACTCAGAAATCCCAATAATGACAAATCCTCTGTAATTCATACCCTTGTAACTGATAGAAACCCATAGAAACCTGTAGAACCTTCCTGACTAATCCAACTACTCGTCGCCCAACGTACTAACCAATCAATCCATGAAATGTATGAACATAGATATGTTGATGTTAAACCGGTTCATTGTAAGCTTTAGCATGTTTGATTTAAAATAACCACTGCAGCTGAAATCTTAAACATACCTAGATTAGATATGGCTACTTAAAACCAGGCTATGCTTATCTTACATCCAACTCAAATAAGCATATCATCACTTTGTGGTAAGTGCGGATAGGTTAAAAAAAACTGGTATGTTTAAAATACTACCATTTTGATTAACTTGAGCAAGTGTCAGCTTTCGATTAAACTTTTCCATACAAACTTTATATCATAGGGCTTGGATCGACGAGTAATTGACGAAGAAACATCTCCATAGCGATATATTGAAGCAATACCCGCGCGTTCTTCTTGATCTACCTCTGTAGTATGATAAATTTCTTCACCCCCATGGCTCGCTGCTCAACCAGAAAGATCTCACAATAAACCTCTACTTCCGCATCATGGGGTATATTTTCCTTATTTCGAGAGACTTTAGTAGCTTTCAAATCTGCCTGCCCACTTAATGTAACCCTCTTTAGCAGCGCTCTCCTCACCCCCCGTACCGATATCTCCTTTTGTTTCCCCGTCAACTTTAGTTTGCGCTGCCATTCAATGCTCGAACATAGTTAGCCTTGTTAAACAACACAAGGAACTGAGACTGTACAAACAGATAATGTCGAAGTACAGCGACAGGTACTAAGTGACTGAACGCCCTGAGAGTAAAACACCAAATGTTGACACCGTTTTACAAAAGTGGTTACTACTGTGTTCCATCATTTATAACCCACCGCTGTACTATTCCACTGTGAGGTTGAGTAGATCATGTTTTCTAGTCATTCTGGGTATCAACGTGGAGTTGGGTCAGGTAATAGTCAGCACCCCGGTCACTGTCTTGTTCGCGCTTAATTCCCCAGCGAGTATCAAAACTTGTCCCTGCCATGAACATAGGGCACCAGGCCATCCCCAGTGGCCAACAACAGCCTGGGCGCCAACCGAATAGGAGCAGCGTCCTAGCCACCAGAGTTTACGACTGAAAGTCTCCAGTGGGCAATGAGGTGAAATGCTCCCCACAGACAGGAATCAAACGCTGCTCATGGTTAACTCACCCCATCGGCAGTACCGCAACCAATCCTTAGGGCTGACGTTTGACGCCCGGCTTGCTCTAGCCCATTCGTCACCATTCACCAATGGTCGAACCACCCATCATGTCTTGAACCGGGTGGGTCTCACTCCTCTACTATGTGACCTGCCCTAGATGGTCACTTTGTTTATCCGGGTGCCTTCATTTCTTCTATCACTATTTGCGTGTATACTTGGGAAGGCAACTCCGTTCGGTCTGATAACCACTATATTCTCGCTATGGGTACATGTCTCTGGCTTGCGCTACGTAAAGATCGATGTGTGCGTATTTTTCATTTTACCTGTTCATCATGTGGTGATGTACCAGATGTTTACTGATGGAATTGAGTTCGCCAAAGGCCTGTAGGAGATCGAACTAGGACCATGGCCTGGGCGTAAATGGCAATGTACTTGCACTCTGAGTCATAAGGGTCGTGCAGTAGTCGCAATCATGGCTCCTTTCTTTCAAGGTTTCTAAATGAGCATTATAGTTGCGTTTGGAGTAAAGAGGGAGTATTCCACCTCTGGACGAGCGCTCAGCCCTGTTCGAAAGATGGCAGGAGAACTCGATTTCAAGGGCGTCAATGGGCCAGCCCGGGCTAATAAATACGGTCAGCCTGGCCCAAGCTAAACAGCCCGGGCTTCCATAAATAGGGGTGTTCATCCATGCGAACTGGTTCACATTTTGCTTGATTTATTGTGTTCGTGGGCTGGACATAGATAAGCTCCAAATACTACAGTTTTCGCTGCCTCTGATGGTAAAAAATGTATAGATGTCTTTGAATCCTCCTTCGAACCGCTAATATTCTATGAACACCTTGAAGCCCGGGCCTACCTATTTAGCGCGGGCCAAATATTGACCTTTGCCCGGCCTGGCCCAACAAGTGAAACCTATGGCCAGGCCCGGTCCGTCAGCAAACAGCCCGTGGCGCCACGGCCCATTGACGCCCCTGAGGGGAACGTCCGCGAACCTGGTCATTGACATGTTCGGTAGATTTTATTGATTACAGCACCAAGCAATATGACTCCATCCAGTGAAGGCCATTGTTCCGTGACTCTTCCCGATATGGGTAAGTGATCACGTGGCTAACCCTACATACGGTGAACCGTCGTGCCGTAGCCTAGCCTAGTCTAGCGGCGGCGGCGGCGGCCCAGTGTTCCGAACGGTCCCGTCCGTCCGTCATGAAAGGTGGGACCTGACGGATGTTATAACAGTCCGTCTTGGAGGGAGCAAAATGACGGCCTATGGACTGCAATCCAATGACAGCGGACTGCAGATAGGACTGTAGTCGACGGTGTATGGATAGGGGATAAATATCTTTATGGCACAATATGTAATTCATTTAATCTTGAGCTAATCTAAGGCCTTGATCTATCCTCCATACCCGCTGCCACAGCTTGTGTCTCAAGGTCACGAAGCATTACATCCATTTGATAAAGATCTGATTCTGTATCTGAAAATATCAATCCCTCGCCCGCCCAAGATTTCAAACATTCAGAGGCCTCAATAATGTCATCCCCTAATCTGTTTCGCCTGTCTGATATAAGGAGCTTTGAACCTTTCAGGTCAGTATAATAAACCTGAGAGGGGAGGACTATAGGTGTTATTGAGCTCTTACCTACTAAATAATCTCTCTAGACTTGCTGATATGGCGGGAATGCTGTGTATCTCAATCCCCATTCTGGCTAGCTCTTTTTGACGTGGATCATGCCTTCTCTGCACCCAGTACTGTAGAGGACTGGCACTGATATCGTCGTCATCCCTGTGTTAAAATCTTTCAAACTCGTCCTGAGTGCAGCCCGCCAGCCTAGCCCTTTTCTTTCGTTTCCAACCAGGTATATTGTCATCAAATGCACCAGTGCCGACAACAGCAGCTACATCCGTTCGTGACTCCATCACCAACTCAGCTATTTCCAGTGGATTCTTCTACTCCTTCTCCCAAAGCCTACGAGAGCTAGACTTAGCGTTCTCGATCCATTCTAGCCGCTACTCCCACTCGCTCTCAAAGTAGTCAAGCTTCATTTCCAGATGTAGAGCAATCGCACTCATGTGTACGGGAGTGAGGTCTGTGAGGGAATAATACTTGGAGTTGATTGTCCCTGATATCCATTATATAGGTATTAAAAAAGTCTTCACCATCGCCAAAGAGAAAGGCTTTCACTACCAAGTTAATGACGTGACCAAAGCATCTCAGACGACAGCCAATATGATCGAAATGAATGTTGATCGATTGTAAGTAGGTTTTAATGAATACCATCGTCGTATCATTGTTGCTTGCGTTATCGAGAGTGAAGTATCCGATCTGTCTGATTATGTTATAATCGCAAACGATTCTGCAAAAGTGTGACGCCTGATTCTCTCCTGTGTGACGGCTCTTGAATCTTTGCATTCCAAGGACAGTTGATCTCAAAATCCCATCCAGACCCACCCAATGACCTACAACGCCGAAGAACGTCCGGTGATTTGGTGAGGTTCAAAGGTCAAAGGAAAAATGAACCGCTGTATCGATGGACTTAAATTGAGACTTCAAAGACTCTTTAACACCATTATAGGCGCTCAAAATTCAGGGCCTTATAGTGTCACTGCATTTTGGGAAGAGGCGAGAGATAGAGGTATATGACGCAGTCTGTACACCACGAAAAATGTGGAATGGCAACAGTTAGTAATTCCGCAGCCTCAAGACAGAGGGAAAGATAAGGGCTGCATACACAGGCAGAAAAATACGCCAATAGCTAACGAAATAATTCAGTTTCGACCTAACGAAAACTGATATTGTTTGTGATAATCCATTGTAACAATAGCTGCTTCAATATATCACTATTGAAACAAACCTTTGGTAGCCTATTCCCAAATGCAACTTTGATTCTGCTCTCGCCTCCTTCTGCCCGTACAGCAATAGGGGCCATTTTTGTCAAGCTCATAGACAATGCTCAAGTGGTCTAGCATGTTCTTTGTGGAAGAGTCGGCAAAAGTAACAGCCTTAATACCGCGTTGTGGACCTATGGGGCATACAAGTCAGTAACATGATTCACTGGCTGAAGTGATAGGTCTATCAAGAAAGAGGATAGAGAGTACCTACAGCGTGCACAACGCCAGTAGATTCGCCCACCTTGGGTGTACTCAGTGCCATGCTCAGGAAGAAAGACCCAACTCTTTCTTTTCTTGACTCTTTGTTGAAGTATAGGTGGAATGCGGCTGGATTGATGACCACTGGAGGACGGAAAGTCAATAACTGAATCACTCTGCTCGTCAGTGAATGCTATTTCCGCGCCTATACTGAAGCTCATTGAATCAAGGATGTTATTAGTCGCCTCCATCTGGCCGTTAAAGATTGGGGTGAAGAAGGTAGCGGGTCGGGAAGAATAGGACTGTTGGATGCCTGTCCACCTGGACGAACATAGATAGTATCTAAGTATTGAGACATGAGGAAATGATAGGGAATCGTATAAATATTCTGAGAAAAGATTTAACTACCTATACGCGTCAGATCTGGCTGGTTTTATAGAGAACCATTGTTGTACTCTGAGTACTTCGATTTTATCACTGCCATTAGCAGTTCAAGCACTCAATCTCGAACCATAGCTCATGACCTAGATTATGACATTTCTGTACTCAATATGCAGTCATATGTAGTAATATTCCGTCAACTATAGTCACCTTCAATCAACCGCTGTCAACCGGAGTCCTGGGCGTTGACTGTCGTCACTTGCAGCCAACCGCTGTCAACTGCAGTCCTGGGCGTTACTGGCGTCACCCACAGTCCACCGCCGTCGACTGCAGTCCTACACTAAGTAGACGGTGTTCTGCGGGGCCCTACAGGTCCCTGCAGTCATCTGCAGTTGTTACAATCGACGGACTGGACGGACCGCTGTCTGCCGTCCGTCCGGTCTTGCAAGCCATTAATGCCCTGGACAGCGCTCTACAATCCTCCCGGGACCGTTCGGAACACTTGTCTAGCGTGACGCGTGGCGCTGCGATTGTTCACAAAGGAAACTCGGACACCTGATCTTACCACATATTAGGTGTAATTTCTTCGGGACCCTCAAGCCTAAGACTGATAATTCTCGCGTATCACTACTATTCTAGTCATCATTAGCCCACAGACTGGAATCAGGGTGCTACTTACGGTTTACTCATTGAGCGCAGCACTGATTTCTAACTACTAATGCCCTTCATATATATACTAGTATTTATTCGTCGGTTTGTCACTGCTAATGTCAGACCACCAGTTCACCCGCTTCAAATGCTCAGGTATAACTACTTGTGCTGCAGGGCCAAAGCGCCCAGTCAAAAAAGGCAATTGATCTAAAGACTAGAAATAGGTGAGCTGTTAAAAGCTGCTGGGTCATGCCACTCGCCATAGACCCTCGGCCGGTCCAAAATATAGGCGCCGTGAGTCAGGCCTTCCAATGGGCTTACCCAGGCCGGAAAACACCCCGGCCCGGCCTAGCTCAACCTATAAAAGGCGTGGCCCAGCCCAGCCCAGCCCATTTAACAAACGCCCAGGCGGCCCAAGTAGCCCATCTATAGGGGATATGAATTCAAATAGCATTAAAATAGATGCAGTCCAACCTTTCTCAGCAACTTTAATTTTTACCATCCACAAAAATGGATTTTTGTGTTCGAAAGATGCCAGTTTTCCTGCCCAGGCCCAGGGGACATAGTCCAGGTCTGGCCCAGTTATCGTAAGTGAGGGCCAGCCCAGCCCAGCCCAATAAGTGCCCGGGCAAGCCCATATAAGACGGGGCCCATTGGAAACCCTACCGTGAGTACTCGGAACTAGGGATAACGCGCAATCAGCCATCACTCCTTCAACTGTTCACTTTACAATTATTCGACCATGATCAGACAAGCAATCAAATATTCATGAAACTGGCCACATATCCGTCCTCATCAGAGTGATTCGGCCTGTTGGTAGTGTGGTCCACGAGCCGGCTCGAGCCCAAATCCTGATATGTCCCAATTGAGACTGCTCGTGATATTAGTTCTTGGGCTCGGGTTCTTCATAAAAGGCTGGAGGGCTTGAGCCCGGCTCGAGCCAAAGGATATAAAATGACGATGACATGACTGATAATCTAGAAATACATATATATAGTTGTCTCGTGCCGCAAGGCCTGCTTTGGCCGGGGGTTTGGGCGTGCGTCGGGTGGCGGTCCGCGGTCGTTGGCTGGGTTTGTTTTTGGTGACGATTGAACAAAGGTCACGTGGATTGCGTTCTTAGATAGATCCTCTAAAATACACCAACGCTCCCGAATATACAAGTAGATATGAGCACTGTGTAACCTCACGGCCTGTTCTAATACCATCCAATTGCTACCAGAATCCTCTATTGTTTTCAAGAACCGGCTCAGATTGAGCCCACATTTGGACTCGAGCTAGCCCGGCTTGTGAGGGACCGGGCTCATACAGGCTTCAGACAACGGTTCAAGGTGAAAGCTCGAACCAGTCCGGCTTGAGAACCACAATACTCGAGCCAAGGGAGGCTCACCCTCCAGCGAGGCTAGGCCGCCTTGAGCCATTTTCTCCAAGGCTCGAGTTTAGACTCGAGCTTGATTTCAAGTTCAGCTTATTCGCTCTGAACTAGGCTCTAGAGGCCACAAAGAAAGCAAAAAGGGGATTTGTACCCACTAGAATGCCTACAAAAATAATAGATCCTTCTCCACGGTACTACCCCATGAAACGAAGCTTATAACCGCCACTTTACTACACCTGATGCCAGGATAACCTGTTTTTTGTATCATTAACCACCGACTCGTGATTCAGCAAGTTTACGAGCTTGGCATCAAAGCTCGAGCCCTGTGGGCCTCTACTCCCCAAGAGCCGAGCCCGCTCGAGCTTATATGCCGGCTCGGCTCGATGAGGCTTATCAACCACACTACCTGTTGATCGCTAGGCAACGCCCAATTTGCGAGTGAGCTGTTCTACAACCAAATGTGTAGCGACTCCATTGATGCGATATAAAACAAAGACATTATAACGACTATAGTTTATTACGCTGCTAACCTGATCTCGATATCTAGACTGCTGACGTTATCTACGCCCGCTTAAGAATCATTAAGAGATGCCCCCATGGCCAGTGAGGGAAGGTTTTAAAATCCCTGGAGCTCCAACCGGACCCTGACAACTCTTATACCTCGTGCTGAGCGCACCGCCGCTGTTCTCGATGGACTGTTGCTCGTATATTACAGGGAGATATGGCGAAAGGCTCTATCGACGAGACAGGGCACCTGGTTTCACTATGCGTCATGGTATGCGTTCCGACCTTATCTTACTCTTCATCATTCGCTCAGCGCTTTTGTGGATGGTACAGGGGATATGTAAGCGATCTCGCGGGTGATGAAGACTCTAGTAAAGCTGTCGGCTTATGGGTAGTCTGTTGTATAGACTAGCTTCGAAGGTTTACAGAGTGGTAGATCAGATTATTGGTTTTGGTCCTAGTTTCCTTTGGGAACTCGCTCAGACAGCAACACATTCTGCTTTTAGTCTTTGATGGAAACATTCGGAAGGACTATCCTACCCAATATATCTCAGGCCCCCAGTCCTCAAACAGGGTACGCGTTGACCGCACTTAGAAAGAGTCACCACCTTGATCACTGTTGGGACTTTTAAGAGCTATTTCGCTGTTCCTTCGCTCATATAATGCTTACGTCATGAGGGAGAGGTGACAACAGTAGCAATCATCACTTTCAAAGTATCACTTCATGGCTCAAGAGAAGATTAGGAGAAACAATCGGACACGTTTATTTTCGACTAAACAAAAAGATCGAGGAACGCCATCACCCAATCCTTCTTCCTAACCTCGACATAGCCCCGCCCCCATGGGCCAAGGTTCGCCCTCCCACCGACCCTGCCATCCCTCCCACACTCGGCCATCAATTTCCTGACTGTGTTCGCAACCTCCAGGCAGCCATATCCGACGCCATCGCTCCAGATCAGCGGGTCCTTGGTTTCTTGGGGCAGACGCGGATAGCGATCTTAAGGTTGGGCTGCTTGCCGTTGGTCCAGATCTTAGTGCAGGCCTTGCCAGTGGATGGCAGGCTGTGGCGTTTAGCGTAGCAGTCGATATAGAAGTCATACTGTGAGAGAAATGGTTCGATATCGGCGATGGGAACAGTGTTGTCGAAAGAGCAGACGGTTTGTGGGTGGCTCACCCATTGGGCAGTAGCGGAGGCGGGGAGAAGCAGGAGAGCGAGCATAAGGGTGACGGAACCGAAGGGGTGCATGGCTGGGGTGATTGTACGACGTTCACCGAAAGGTAAAGTAGGTTTTTTAATGAAGTTAAGTACTTGTTGGGAGACGAGAGAAGCGGGGCCGACAGTTGTGATACACTTTTATAATTCTTTGGAGTGGGTGGTTCATTGAATGAGTTTGAACTTTTCTTGCCTTGGCTAACAACTTAGAGGCGGCAAATTCTAAGCTTACATTCCCATTGAATGTGCATGACATGCTATGCACTGGTTCACACAAATTGAAAATAGGACTTTCAATTATGTCTTCACGCCTTGAATTGATACCTCCGACTCATGACCCTGCGGCATGACTTCAACTTCTAATGCAATACAGGCCTATACGGGCGCTAAATGGTTATCCTCGTGCGTGTTCTGATCGCCCTAGGTATGGTGAAACCAACGATATGCATCGAAACAGCTTGTTATTTTTGTCAAGATTGTTCGTATATGAAGAAGCTTATTCCCTTATTCATACGGAGAGATCCAGCACAAAGAAGAAGAAGAGAGGTATCAAATGGAACTCTGAGAGGGTATGAGAAGGAATAATAATATAGTAAAGTATCTCCCATCCTCTCCTCACGGTAGTATGATGACTAGCATAACATTCATGTACCGCACGATCTGAGAAATAAATGTCGTAGAAACGAAGATATGCATGTATGTTCTCTGTTGACGATGCAACTAGCTGCATGCATACGTAACAACAAACATGATTAGTCTCGGCTTCCTCTCTCTTTACCAATTGGTACCTCATTATTCAAAACAATAGTCTCCGCCACAAGGCGTCTAATTCTCGAGTAGAGTTGTGACCAGCTGTGATTTACCTTACGTATACACGACATGCTGCTCAAAGACGTCAAAGTCTACATAGGCTTTTGTTAATCTACGCGGGGGGCGGAGTCTCGGGCTATCGAATATACATATTGAAACAGAAACTGTCCTGATCAATATAGGAACGGACGGAAGTAAAACGGGTCAAGCTTCGTACGGGCTGTTCGGTTCTGCTCACCCAGACATACCGCTGGTCAACGGAGCCTCCTATTCACCAAGTTGTTGGAGGGAACAACCCGTTCACCAAGTATATATTAAAGTTGGACGGATTAACCAGCTAACCAAGTCTGACCCTATTCACCAAGTACCAAAGTAAATGAGCTGGGTAAGGTCAATCAGCCCCTATTATATAGTTATGAATTGTTTGCGGAGGAAACAATGTAATAAGAGAGATCATGAAAGATGTGTGGCTTCACATACATTGTTGTCTGCTATATCTCAAACTCCGAGTCCCCAGCTTTATTGTGTGTTGACTGCATGCCAATGGAATCAAGAGAGATTATTCTTTACCGAACTGAACTAGGATTCTCATTTCCGATGATCTCAATTTATCATAGATTTCAATGATATCTTGTTGAATCTAATAGCCATTCACGAAGCTGACTCCATTAGCCAAGTTATCGTTCCTGTGCAAGTTGATGGATAGAGTGCTCCCTCAGCCGGCATTGTGTCTTGGTGAATGAAGCAGAACTGCGCTCGATGCCACCTACATGAAAATCCATGTTTTAAACAAACGGAGTTGGCCCGACGGGAGAAGGTCAGGATCTTCTTCAACATATATATTCTCCGTCCCACCCATAAGTACTACTCAATGAGTGGTCGCTGATATTCGGTAAAACTCTTACAATGAAGTGTTTGTTATTGATTAGTAAGGTCATGTTAATGCCTTCGTGTAATAGCGCCGTTACCGGCGTTGTCAGGCTTACTATTTTGAAGACGATAATAGTGAACATGGTGATCGATAACGTCCATAATCATTGATTATAGAGAAATACGAAAATATGTATAATTAAATACAGATTGGTACTTTGTATACTGACCCATTTATTTAATAAGCGCTGCCACTGTATCACATATAGACCTCAATAACCTCTCAAAATGCTCTTTAGCAATTGTGTCACAAACCAAAGGCAGGATCTCAGTCTAGCTTTCTCTTTGTTATTTTCTACAGGTATACTTTATACAACTTGAAGTGGTTTCCGGGCGTTGGTCGGTAAAGACAATGAAATGAGCTAGTCTCATCCAGATGTGACAGGTTGTCTTCGAAATGTAATATATTATATGTACGCTAGGCTCACTGATAACTAGCGCGTGGAATCGTTAGGTGGGGACCTCCAAATCGCCTCCACCTCCACCTCCACCTCTACTTCTACCTCTACTTCCACAACTACCACTACCTCCACCTCTACATCTACTCCACCAATACCTCTACCTCCATCTCTACCTCGACCTCCACCTATACCACCACATCCGCCCCTCCTACCTGCCTCCATATTGACAACTATGCTAAAGTCCATATAGACTCCTGATTCGATACCTAATTCACGCCTAAATCGACGCCCAAATCGAAACCCCAATCGACGCTTAGGAGGCACCTATTAGACACCTATTTAGACTTCAAATCGACATTTAGCAGGCATCAAATTGACACCTCACAGTCGCTAAATCTACCACTAAATTGACACCTATTTTGACTCTACAATGACAGCTTACAGGCTCCAAATCGGGCCCTAAATCGAGCGCTAAATTGACACCTAACAGGCATCAAATCGAGCACCTCTTCGAGCACCTCCCCGAACTGCTTTTGAGTACCTACCCGAACAGCTTTTGAACACCTTTTCGAGCACCGTTTGAAGCACTGTAGTATTTCTCAAATATGGTGGAACTATTGTGTGAGAGTTGAGGACGATGACATTGAGCTTGACTGTATTCCAATGGCACCTTCTTCTGTATTAATTGTATTAATTGTGCAAGGTAATAGTTAACCCGAGTACTTATATATTATTGTTACCAATTAATTACTATAGGGGTACTGATAATGAAAATTAGCCTCATAAATATGCATGTTTCTGGACCATAGCTGGAACATATGGTTTGCGAGTTGACAAAATTTAGCACACGCAATGAGATCTCGCAACGTGATGCAAGAACACCTAACGCGACACCCACCATCAAATTCAATGTGGCTCAAAACTATCGATGAAGTCTGTACCCAGAAAACACTGTTACTGCTTTCCAGAAAGACGAACTTGAATTAGCATGTATGCGATAAGCAAATGTTCTAATTTGTGCGATTTCTGCAACTCTTGGGATACCTTTGTCAACCGTATGTGATACAGCAAAATGAGTAGAGAGGCTGCAAGGTCAGAAATCGTCAAGTAAGGGTAGGAAAAGAAAGACTACAGAAGAGCATTATGAGGCAAGGAAAGAGAATACATTAAGGAATAGATATTAAAGCTATCGGAACATAAGTGAAAAGATTGCACTATATATAAGTGAGAGAACAGTCTGATATTGCTTAAAACAAGTCTACTTACGAAAATATATGATCAAAAAAAAATCAATGTGTTAGCAACTCAAAAAAAGCAATCCTAATCACCAATTTCTCAAACCTAGCCAATCAAAAACTTTAAATAACACATTACATACCGGTATATCTATATACTTATAAGATTGATTTATCTGTCCACCTAATTATATCTGTATATCTGCCCGCGTGCTAGTAACAAACTCAAAACACTGACTACGTAACTGCCTGCATACTGAATCATGCCTACCCAAACCTGAGTCTGACTGCATACTAGTATTTGCCGGCCTACCTTATCACCTAACTATTAAGAGCCCATTTGATATTGATTTAATGCGCCATCAGTAATCGATTTGAGTGTAGATATGTGTGTCGATTTAGTGCAGTTAGTTCACGATTTAGTGTGGATTACACTATCAAACATGAATTTACATATTGATTTGTGTCTGCATTTGTTGCAATCTGCTACAATTAGTCGACGATTTGGTAATAGATTTGGTTCTGATTTCAAGTTGGTGTCAGTTGGCGAATCTATTCGATGCTGATTTCATGTCATGTTGGTTTAGTACTGTTTACGAGTCTATAGCAGTGTCAGTATAGGATTCAAAATACAGAGGTAGGTTAATGTTTATAGTCCTTGATACTGGTAAGATATAGCTATCGAGGTATATGTTGAGAGGAAGGTTGGTAGGTAGGAATGTAGGCAGCAAGTAGGTTTAGGTAAACAGGTTGGTATCATCGAGCTGTCAAATCTAAAAACATTCGCTAACAAAGTTAGGACTGCCATCAGGACTTTGGCAAAATATTATATAATCGCATCCGAGTCGGTGTCTCATGTTTTGCCAAGCGGTTAGGCCACAAAAGACGAGATACTATATTTTGTATGCCTACTTGTTATTAAAACATTAGATATCAAATTTATGATTTTTCCCAATCAACAAAAATCTACTTGTCATATTTTGATAGCAGGGTGAGGAGGTATTGCAAGCAAAAGATGAAGTTCAGGGCATGGCAGTCGAATTTGATCATCTCGGTACCCTGATTCGTCTTAGCACAACCCATTTTTTTTACTGATGTATTTCTCACCTTTTGGGAACACTGTATCAGACTGGCTTAGTGCAGTCCGTACAGTACATCCCTATAGAATTTTCACCATTCCACCTTCGCAATCCAATGATGAACGAGTATTGACTTACTATTTTGGCTTCCTTGAGTTCAGTCGCTATCCTGCCCAAATCCTGCTAGTGCATAGCTTCCCGAGACCTCACTCACGCACAGGACTCGCGGCACGCCTGCTATTCGTACACACAAACGTACCCACCGTACCACAAAACCTCAACATTACCACATCACCTCCAGCTAGTACCTCCAGCGCCCCTGTACCGCCAACCCATCGTGACCTCAAGTCCCATTAGAACCAACACCACTCCCTCCCTCCCCCCCTCCCCCCCCCCCAAACAACAAGCACCGCACATCCAGTCCACCCCATAGGAACACCTCACGCCCGCCAAGCCAAACGAGTGACACCCTATGACGCACCCCCGTAACCACTCAACTCCTTTAACACCCGCCCAACACCACAACTGCTCCCACCCGCCACAAGAAGGCTACAGCAACCCATCCGGGACCTCCTGTTCCCCTCGCCCCCTCTCTTACCCCCAACAGCAGCAACACCAGCACAGCGAACTCCTCGCAACACCACTCCAGCAGAAACGAGCCTACCGAAACAAAAGACCTCCAATTAACGGCACATCACCGGCCACACATGTTCATCCAACCTCGTCTCACCTAGGCCTTCTACAATCGTTCAAAGCTAAACAAAGACACACCAATACCCCCGCTCGCACACACGCAGTTGCGCAAAAGGAAGGGAAGGGAGTCTGGCTTCTCAGTCATCGGCGAACACACGTAGCTATAAACCTACCCCACAACCCGACTATATAAAGATGACCCCCAAGGTGTCCCCATAGCCCTGTCTCCCGCCCCCTCCAGTGGCGAAACTAAAACGCATTTGGACCCACATCCCCACGAGGAGCAAGATGATTAAAGCACACGCCGCTGTCTCAGCTCCAAATCAAATCACCACAGAAGCAGGCTCCATCGACGAAGACATTACCTTCCCTATTTACTACCCATGATTTCGAACCTTACGCTCAGCTTGGCAGGGCACCCGGTATAAAGCAGTAAATCATTCTCCAGGCACTCTCACTTTGTTTCGGACTTGGCAGAGCTGGCATATTTGCTGACTGGTATATCTATTTTGCCAAGCTACATAGGACCTTGAATCGTCAAGCCTGGAGTAGGTGCCGGGAGTGTTAGCTTATTACCGCTACATGGGTATTCTAGTATAATTACAGACCACTTAGTATACAAGAACCTGCGTCCTGTTCTTGATTCACAACCTCGTATCGAGTACTCCTGCAGTTTGGGTCTTATTGAACTCAATATAATCTTCACATCTCAACTCTTATAACCGAATCATCAACACCACAGAAGACGAAATCGCTCCATGAATTCAATGCAATTGATTACCCACACACAGTCCAACAATTAAAACACACCATCAAATACCCCCCCCGCCTCCCAAACCTCCCTCTCTCTATGTATCTCGGGCCCCTCAGCCACCCTCGGCTTCCCCCTACACTACACTACACTACACTACAACCACAACCACAACCACAACCTCCACTTCCACTCTACCTCCCACAAGCCCCCACCACTCCCCCCAACCTCCATCCCCGGCGACGGCAACCTCAAAAATGGCACCTCCGCCCCATCCTGCGGCTCGAGAGACCCCCATACACGCCTCCTCACAACCCCCACATAGTCCAACTCCGGCGGCGAGAGCCACGTATCCTTCTTGAAAAGCCTTGCCTTCTGTCTCCGCCTCAAATCTTTCTCCAGCGCGGCCGAAATCCTTGTAATATGAACTCCATGCACAGAACCACTCCTCTCGAGGTTGTGCAGGCTATCGTTCTGCATCTCAATATCCTGCACGACGTCCACATTTGTGGGCATAGCAGACTCAGAAGGCGCAGAAGACGATTCCGCCGCGGGTGCTGGTGGTGCTACGTCTTGCGTCTGCTGCACCGGCCGCTCCCACGCATCACAATAGTGCGTCACCGTCCTCCCATCCCTATCCCAGTCCTCCCCATCCTCCTCTTCCTCCTCCTCCACGATACCATCAAGCGACTGCTGCCACGTCGGACCACACGCATCCGTAAGCCTCGCCCGCGGCTCGTTGAAGGCACCGCGGGTGCGATCAATGTCCGCCATAAGCTCACTCCACTCGTCATCCACATCCTGGGACGTGTCTACGGCGCCGTTGACGACATTGAAGGTCCTGTACTGCGCCTGCGCGTTCACGTTGGGAACGAACGTTTCGAGGTGATCCCACGCCCGTGAGAGGTGCTGGAGCTGCTCTTGGAGGATATAGAGTCTGCTGAAAGTATTGGGAGCACGGTTCTGGAGGGTGTCCTCGGGAGCGGGGGAGATGCCGTCGGTGTATACGTAGCTCTCGATTTCTCCCGGGGATTCGTAGAGATCATAGTCGTTGTCGTTGCCGGTGTTGTCGTTGTCGTCGTCGTTGGCGTTGTCAGAAGTTGGGGAATGGTCACCACCCTCAACTTTAAGAGGATCATCGTGATCATCACCACCACCTTCACCGGCATTGGTTTCGTGGTGCTCCTCCCCGTCCTCTGAATTTGATTTCTTGCTGCCTTCACCGTCCTGGCTGCCTTCGCTCTCCTGGCTGCCTTCGCTGTCCTGGCTTCCTTCGCCGTCCTGGCTGCCTTTACCGACCTCACTATCCCCGCTGTCCCCGCTCTCCCCACTGTGCTCACTGCCCTCGTCCGGATCACTACTATACGCCTCCTCACTCCCCCCCATACTCCCCCTCCCACTCGACTCCAAATCCTCCCTATCACTCGCATCCTCGACAGGCCCATACCTCACCATCTCCTGACACGGCAGCGGCACGGCCCCCCACAAATACGGCCCCTCGCCCCTCTGACTCATGATCCTCCTGGGCACGGTCCAAAAGCCATCCAGCGGCTCCGCCGACAACACACGATGCGGGAGTGGCTGCAGTCGCCACATGCGCACCACAAGCCGGGAAGCCAGGGAGCCGATGGTGCAGCTGGCGGTGTAGGGGATATTGAGGTAGTTGCATGCCGTGCGGAGCCGGCACAGGGAGATGTCGGCGGGGACAAAGAAGTGGGCGCGGTGGGTGGCGGGGACGTTGTGGATGGCGCGAGCGGCGGGGTTGCCTTGGAGGCGGGGGGGCGCGGAGGCGGCGCGGGTGCGGAGGTGGGCGTTGGGGGTGGCGGGCGGAGGGGGGAGGAAGTACGTGTTGGGGAGGGGGGCGGGGGTCGGGACGTAGGTGGATATGGTAAGGTCGTAGATAGGGATGGTGTAGTAGGACATGCTGAAGTGTGGGGATGGTGCTGGAGGGGACTGTAAAGGCGGGAAGGCTGAAAAGACGGTGGGAGAACGGGTTATATGGCTGGATGAAGACACGGTGGGCTTCAGTCTACAGAGGCAGTCCTGTTTATATATCTGTCTGTCGTGAATATAGGCTACTGTGTCTATAGACACTCTGGCCAGTGACACCCACGACATGATATGTCCACAGTTGCTGTCAACAGCCTGTCCCTTGCCTCCTGAAACCTTGCCAGACTCGTATAATAATACTACAGCAGGTCAATGTTAGTACACTAGAATCCCGCCAGATCACCGCCGTGAGACCTCGCCGCTCCATGTCTGTGGATAGGTATTGCCTTTTCATGTGTGCAGTGGATGTAGTAGCTGTGGTTTCCCAGCCCGTATCGGAAGAGGTTCCGTGAGACGGTGTTAAGTTAGCTGTTCAATACCAAAGCTATAGCACACAGTAAAGAGCCCATGATAATATCTACTGCCAGTCTCGAGTCGGCGGTGACATGTAATCGCCGACAGAGTTGCAATTGATCATTTTCCATACTTCCTGCCAGTGGCACAGCCACAACCACCCAGCCAAATGCACCACCAAAAGCTCTCAGCACTCGGTCCAGCGTCTAGCTCGCCTGCATCATCACATAACTCAATTTTTCCAGATTTTGATTCCTTAGTCCAGCGATTATTTACTCCCCGTCGGGAAAAAAGTGAGTACATATCATCAACACACAACGCCCAACAGACCAAGTAAATTAAAGTGGACATCTCCTAGATTTCTAGAGCCTACCCATTTCTAGCTCAACCCTTCACCAAATGACAAAAGCGCGGCAAACACGTCTTTGCAAAAGACCGCTATCTGGGATTGGGCATATATACAGTCTGAGCATACATATATACCAAACCCACCCCGGCCCTGCGCACACCTCATCACCGGTGCACATCTCATCACCGAGTGACATTCCATGAGCGCACAGACCAACACCTGGGCCCTTAAAGACTTGGCACGCTACCCCACGACGCAAAAGTTTATCGCAGCTCTCCCACCACAACCACAACCTCCAACTACAACATCACCAACCCTCAACACCACCCACCACATACCACCACATTCCCCCGACCTAAACCCACAAACAAATAACCACAATGCCCAAAGCCCGCAAATCCCACCCCCCCTCCTCCTCCTCAGCAGGGCCCTACGCCCGCCCCCCCCCAGCACCTCCGCAAAAGCCGCCGCCACAAAAGCCGTCAACAACGTCTTCAAGATGAACACCAACCTCGGCCAACACATCCTCAAGAACCCCGGCGTCGCGCAAGCCATCGTCGACAAAGCCGGCCTCAAGCAAAGCGACATCGTGCTCGAAGTCGGTCCTGGTACCGGCAACTTAACCGTCAAGATCCTCGAGCAAGCGCGGCGCGTGGTGGCCGTCGAGATGGACCCGCGCATGGCGGCCGAGCTAACGAAGCGTGTGCAGGGCCGGCCGGAGCAGAAGAGGCTCGAGGTGGTGCTGGGCGATTGTATCAAGACCACGCTGCCGTATTTTGATGTGTGTATTAGTAATACGCCTTATCAGGTCTATCCCCCCTCCCCCCTCCCTCCTCTCCCTCTTCTCCTCTCCCTCTTCTCCTCTCCCTCTTCTCCTCTCCCCCTCCCCTCCTGTGCTGTGCTGCGGTGGGTGCGTCGTGCTAACGCACCACAGATCTCCTCCCCCCTCGTCTTCAAGCTCCTCGCGCTCTCCCCGGCCCCACGCACCTGCATCCTCATGTTCCAGCGCGAATTCGCGCTGCGTCTCGTCGCCCGCCCGGGCGACGCGCTCTACTGCCGTCTCAGCGTCAACGCGCAGATGTGGGCAAAATGCACACACATCATGAAAGTCGGCAAAAACAACTTCAAGCCGCCGCCACAGGTAGAGTCCTCCGTGATCAAGCTGGAGATCAAGAACCCACGGCCGGCAGTGTCGTACGATGAGTGGGACGGGCTCTTAAGAGTCGTGTTTGTGCGGAAGAATAAGACGATTGCGGCGGGGTTTAAGAGCAGTGCTGTGATGGGGATGGTGGAGCGGAATTATCGGACGTGGTGTGCGACGGTGGGGGTTGCGCTTGAGGGGGAGGGGGGGGATGTGGAGATGGGCGATGGGGAGGTGGGGGGGGAGGAGGAGGTGGAGGAGATGGAGGTGGATGAGGATGGGATGGGGGATGTGAGGAAGGTGTTGGTGAGGAAGAGTAGGAAGGGGAAGGGGAAGGTTGCGGAGCTCGTCAAGAGGAAGGTTGAGAAGGTGCTGGCGGAGACGGAGCTGGGCGAGAAGAGGGCTGGGAAGTGTGATGAGGCCGATTTCTTGAAGCTGCTGTATGGCTTCAATAAGGAGGGGATCCACTTTAGTTAGACCCGGGGGGGGGGGGGGGTTAACCCGAGGGCTTGGAGTTTGGGTGTCTTTTTTCTCTCTCTTCTTTTTTTCTTTTTGTATATACAAAAGTTGACATTGTTATAGTTCGTGGGCATCTACGTCCTAGGCAGGCATTCAATACTAATCCGATTTCATGCCGATTTGTGCGCGCGTGCTGCAGTAAGGTTTATGAAATGATCGCCTAGTGAACCGGATTGAATATGGGTTAGACTGCATAGTTCATTGCCACCATGTGTTCATCGAATGTTTAACGATATAAGCTGCATCATATCATCATTGAAGTAAATACGATTCCATATATATGCCCCATCAAGCACAACCATACTACACCCTACTACCCGCCTCCCCAACCTCACACCCCGAACCCCAAACTCTGAAAGGACCGGTGGTCCCCCAAACGAGATCTCGATAACTACATAATCACCCCCAACACCTCTATCTGGAACGGCCGGCTACCACAGACCGTAGCGTTCCAGGTGACCAAGTCATATATTTCTTCAGGCAATATCAGTTATATATATATCTCCCTGCAATCACTCGACACGAAAAAAAAAAGCCTATCTTTATACAAGACCGAGTCGACCAAGACGTTACAGACCAACTCACAAACTTAAATCCTAACCGCATCGCCCACAACCACCCCCGCCCCTCACTGTCTTCTATCATCCAATTTGCCAAAGCACGGAAGACGATTGGCAGAACCATGACCGATAGCCATCAAAAGACCAACGAACTAAAAAATAAAAAAAAACAGCCCCCTCCCCCGGTCCCTAACCCTCGCTCACAAACCCTAACCCTACAAATCTCTCTGCACCTCATGATAGCCCATATCAGTTTAACCCTTGACGCTACCTATACTCCACATATCCCAACTTCACTCGCGAGAGATAGTCTGCCCGACCGCAACGCCTGCTAACCCAAGCGTCTCGGAAGACTAGATTATAGCCACATGGACATATTGCGAGTGATATTCTGTGATTAACTCACTCAAGGATCAGGTTAGGTAGTGACGCGCGCGCCCAAGCTTTGGATCGTAGAAGAGAGACGTCGTTCCCATCGTTAAAGATGACGGTAAAAGATAAGAAAGCGTGCCAAAAATGCATGAGACCTGGATTTATAGTTCGTCAGTCCATTTCCCCTATGGGTGGTGGAGCAGAGGATATGGGGCACACATCCAACATCATCTCCTCCTAATTACAACCGTCAGCCAATATCCTGTCATGGTGAAATCCCATCGCAGACACTACGTCACATCTCCCGCCGGCGAACGACTTATTCAATGGCACTCCCACCCATCCTTGGCGCGAGTGATATCCCATGATTCCGTCCAGCCAAACCCCAAATTTATTATAACCAAGATCACCCCTTGGTCAACGTCCCGTATACATATATGCATAAGTTTAAACACGACACGGGAGTCAGTGACGCTGGTATGCCTACGACGACAGCCAAGCCCCGGACGCCCGCCAATCACCCATCTATCCTTAAAACCCTTTAGATACCCCTTCTCCTCTGTCCCCTTCTCCCTCCACCTTTCACCCTGTTAATTTTCACAAACGTCGCCTCACTGATGACCGGGCCCGTTCCGTTGTTGCAATCTCACCCCCACCATTGTGCTCCGAATATCCCGAACCCGGCACCGGAAAACCAGAGTACACCGGCTCATGATCTCCGCAATCAAGCTACGGCCCGATTCCACTCTTCCCGCAAAATGTCCCCTATCTCCCTCCTCCCGTCCTGACTCTCCTGTTTTGGTACCGCGCAGTCAAGCTCGGAGACCTAATCCAGCGACGTGGCACATGAACTTGACAAATAATGTTCAACCTGCGCCCCCTCCCCCGTCAGTGCCGTCTGAGGTTATAACCGCAGAATACCACCATCAGGAGCCATAATGCGGGGATTGAGCCACCCCGCAAATCACCAACCAGCCTAGCCCTTGTTGTGTCCGCAACTATCAGAAGACCAGTCCTCTCCGGCAGCACTCTGCGGCAGTTAATAGCTGGTCAGCCACGATCTCCGAAGACGCCGTCGCATCAATAATCGCAGATACGTGTCCACTTCTTCTGTGTTTCCGAGTTAGTAGTTTTGCTACTTTCTCCTGTCCCCAGTATAGGAAGTTCTCCAGTGAATACTAACCGTTGACATGTAAAGCAATCCACGGGAACCGGCCGACATCTTCGGCTCTCGGGGGTCTAAAGGCTCAAGAAGACCCGGTACCCTACCTATTGCAACGCGATATAGTGGATACAAAGGCAATGTTGGCGAAATACACCGTTATATCGTCCGAGGAGAAACACCCCGCGGCCCGACAATGTCCAACTATCTCTACCAGATGTCAATTTGGAATTAACACTAGCCAAATACAGCAGGTAGGATGTGTTGAACGCCTGAAGAGTTCGTAGCCTCACGAGAAAATTATTACCACGGCAAAGTGATTATCCAAACGCGCCAAGAGTTACATATTTCTTTGAAGTACTGACGGTTAATACTTTCCACGGATGTTGTTATCGCTTTATAAATCATACCCAAGAAACCTCTGGAATTCTTAAATCTAGCTGAAACCAGAGGACAGGGACTGGGTTAGAGCTGTTTTTCAACGAAAATGTAAGCGGGTGTTGTACCAACGAGTGCGAATTCAGGAACAACAGCTGCACCCGCTCAGATTTAGTTCCTTGCAGGCCCAGCCAGCCCCAAGATCCCCAGAACCATGCCTTCCCGGGCGCTCCCGGCCGTGTCCCTGGGTACATCTCATGTCGCTGACAGCTAGTAGAGCTAGAGCTCTCGTCTATATCATCCTCGGGGACCAATATTCAGCCCCAGTAATTCCACACGATTCTGAGTAGTAATCGAGGCTAGGATAGCATCTACTCTCTGATAATCACAATCTATCGAAACTCCAAGCTCGAGGACATCAACGTCGAATGTGGCCGTCATTTCATTCGGGATCCCTTTAGTAGGAGGCCAGCCCAGATCGCAATGCTAACGCAAGAACGCTCTATGTTTACATATCGTGCTCCTCCGAACGCTGTCAATCATTGACCTTGTAGATCTCTCTAGGCCATAGGGTCAACTCAACTCAACGATATAATCGACAGTAACGCAGTTCGGAAAAGCCCGTTTACCACACCACATGCAGTCGTTCGTTGGAATCTTTTTTGGCCCCCTAAGTGATACTTTGTGGTATTGAGGCCACTAAGATTGTTATGGAATATCGTAAGTTATGGTTATTCATATTCAGCAATGCCTTTATTTGACTCACGCATCCGGAATTATTTTAAAACCGACGTTGAATCTGGAACCCAGTAGTTGGCGGATTCCATAACCCGACCCAATGGGATCCAGTAACTCCCGCTCACTAAGGACCAATAATCATAAGCACATATTCTCAATTTCTCATCGGCCGAGGCCCCACGTCATTAGCCACGAGTAAACATTTCTACTCCCCGGGCTTGCTATTCCCTCCAGGCTTACCTATTCTCACCCAAATGGACCGCCCATACTGCGGCCTCAACCCCCGTCCTTAGTGCTAACGGGAGAGAATAGAAAACCCCGGCAGGTGATCATGCAATACAACGGAAACGAGGACTTATACCACCGGATCCGAGTTCCTTCAGGTGACTTCTATGGCCATACGTATATACTCCAACAGCTTCTCGATGGATGACAGTCTTTCCCACGCAATAATACCGATACTACGACAACATATCCAGCACCAAAGCCAAACCTAGACAGGTACAAATATTCACCCAAGGCCCAAACGCGGAGAACCCTCCCCAGTATATTAAAATCGAAACCCCCCACCCCCACCCCACCCCGAGTTCTTCCGCTAATTCTAGAAATATCCTGTGTTGATGATGAGAATGAGACGGTGTTCGGAAGACCTGGCGGGACGAAATCCCGGGATCCAACGAGCCATATTTGTAGTTTCGACAGGACTAGATTTCCCGGAACAAGACCACAAAATCCCGTGATACATTCCAGCGCTCATGGTGACCTATAAGCGTTTTCAGTAAGGCATTATAGAGTCTGTGACATGTAATTACCGTCTGAGTTCTAAGTTCATTCGTTTTGATTATAGGTCTATTACTCTTAAACTCCATTCTCAATGAAGTAATCAATCAATCAGGTAAGGTATAGTTACCAAAGCCATGTTTGGACTTTTGACATACTCTCGCTACCACTGAGTTACATTTGATCTTAGTGTGATCTATTATTCTTCCTCGGGAATCGTTTGGGAACAGGTAAGAGCCCGTTTGGAAACAGGTAAGTCCCGGTTCGGCAACAGGCCAAAACGGAGTATACAAGGGGTGAAAATTGGGCTTCAAAGACCGATTTTCTAGGATTTGACTCTTGGAATTTCCGTTTTGGTCCGCTAACGAACGGGCCCAACTCATTAGGACCCGGGACCTCAATACATTAGTAATAACCTGAGCCCGACAGCACCGGCGTGACAAGAGAATAGTTATGGAGTGGACGGGACTAAACAAATAGCACACCCATTTGGTCCGTTCTCTCCACTATCTTGAATTGACGGTGTTCCTGGCGAGAATATCTGTATAATTACAGCTATATCGCCTCAATTTTCAAAGTAGGTGATGTGCGATAATCTATGCACTTCAGATATCACACTTGCAGTAGCGAGCAGGGATTCACCGCCCCCGTAATTAAGGATGTCTAAAATCCAGGGTTAGGGTTAACGTGCCGCGCCTCCTCGAGTGATATATTGTGATTCACACTGCAACGCCACACAAAACTCTGATTCGCTTGCAAAAATTCACAAGGTAGGTAAGAGCACTTCGGCAAATTACTTTGGACATTTCCAGAACATACAAGCGAATCTGGATCGTGGGGGTATGACACACCTCCAGGCTAGCATTTATCCCACCAAAAGTGTATGCATGGGACAGATAAAATGAAATTTAGGGTATTTTCGGAAAGAAGTTCACCGCGTACCAGTAAGTTCTGTTTGGCCCTCTCTG